AATATATGAGTTTGTATGTAATGTATGAATATAATATACAAGTTTCACTTTTTAAATGGAATTACTGAAATAAATCTACTTTTTCATGATATTCTAATCTTATGACCAGCACCTGTAATTAATCCATAACAGCCAACATCTTCCAGTTTTTAATAATGCTTTGGACAGTTCTTACCCCAATTTTAGCTCCAGCAATCTCCTTGGATGTTTTCTATGCTTGATGCCAATATTTTGACCCTTCTGAAACAGATTAATATATTTTTCCACAACCACAAGATGTTTTTTTACGTAGTTGTTTAACAAGAAGCCGTTCACTACATCAATTAGGTTTAAATAACCTGTTTCCAGCTGTAGCATAAATACTCATGCAGTAATTATCTAATTTGAAAGATGCTTTCACCATTACAAACAATAATACTGTAGCATTGTGTCTGGTCCAATCACTCTTCTAGGCCAGTATGAGAGGAGGCCACTGTCTTTCATGTTAGAGTTACACATTTCCCTGCTTCAACACACCTAAATTACGTAAATAGTTGGAATACTTCTTTAGTTTTTCAAAAACCTAGTAATGTTTAATTCAATGAAATCATGTGTTGTGAATTAGGGAAACATCTGAAATTTGCATGATAGTAGCCCCAAAAAGTAGTTAGGGGCCACTGTAATAATTGGTTTTAAGAAAATTCTGACTAAAATACCAGTTATACAAGAGAGGCAAATACAGGGGTTACATGCTGGTCACAGTTAGACAACTATTCAACAAAGGTTTTCTTAGAATCCACCCACTGCCATTGTTTTTGTTTTTCGTTACACTCTCGAAGGAGTAAGACACTTTTTCCTTCTCTCTTGCCCTTATCTTCCCTGCTTTGCTGCTGGAGCCTTCTCTACGTTTTCATCTGAAACTACAAATTATGGATATTTTTATTTTTATGGATTTGGTTAGCTGGTCTCTCAATACAATTTTTGGAACAAAGTTTTTTCTTCCATGGGAGGACATATCAAAGGTGGGACCTCTGTTCTTCTCTGTTCTGGATGTACTTTATGTCTGGACTTTGATCACTGGATTCTACAGAATGGCTTGGTGGTCTTCTGGTGTTCTACAAAACAGCGTTGGTGGCTTTTCATCTCCTGGCTGACTGACCAAAATGAAGGATTGCCGTTCTATCAGCACTCAGACATTGAGCCTTGAGCGAGCTGGACTCGGTCTGTAAGCGGTTCTATTGAGGGTTGCGAGCCAGCTGTGGTCCCTGGACTTTGCTGGCCAGATGGAATTGATCTTGGAGAAGCTGATAGATCGGCTCGGCGGAATTTGCCCACATTATTTGTCTGATTGGATTCACCACCTTGAGATGCACCAGCAGAACACTAAAACAGATGGAAAATTATCGTCTGCTTGTCTCTTTTGTTCCCAAAACAACTGATTACAGAATCTGGATCTCCCTGACAATGGCCTTGATCTGTAGACTAAATTCTTCCTGGCTGGATTACATAGACTCAGCTCTGCCTCCCCCTCCTCTAACACCCGTCTGATCTGGTTCCTGGAGCAGGCTGAGGGCCACACAGAATGAACAGTTTACCATCAATATTCTAAACTTTGGCTGTGCTTGTTTTGGGGACTGGATTCTTTGGGCCCCCTTAAAACTCACTTACTCCTCTGGCTAATAAATGTGCTCTATGCAGAGGTTTTTTTTCATAAACACCATAGTGTGTCACAGTGATATGATGTTTTTGTTTTTTCCCCTCATCTTTCCTTATGTGGTTTTTAGTTTTTCTGTTAAGGGTAGCACCTCCTCATGATGTCTTCATGAAGATGATCTTTGCTCTGTGCAAGGTCTGTGGCTGCATGACCCAGAGCGCCTGTTCTATGGTTATGCTCTGTCTTCTTCTGAATGGGTGTTCTGAACTGTAATTTCATTGTGTTCTGTACAATGACAATAAAGGTCTCTCTATCTAATCTAATCTAATCTAATCTAATCTAATCTAAGTCTTCTTCCTTCTTTCCACAGAATGCAAAGATGTAAACAAAGTGGCTTACTGTCCGCTGGTTTTGAAGTTCAAGTTCTGTAGCCGAGCGTACTTCAGACAAATGTGCTGCAAGACCTGCCAGGGCCACTGAACGAGACGAGCAGGACGTGGCAAAGAGACGGATACAAAGACAACAAAGATGGAGGGATAAGGCACTGAGTGAGTGAGAACAAAAAACTGAGGCAGTGCGACCAAACAGCCCAGTGTTTGAGTAGTGGAAAGCAAAGACAGAAAGAACAAAACTTCCTGTTCTGCATTCTGGTGGAATCCTAACCACTGCTAAGCCTTGAACGCTGACACAAAATTTTATTTTTTTTGTTTTATTTTCACTTCTGTGAAGTGGAACTTGGGAGATTATTTTTTGACAATGTTATTTTTATTATTATAATAATAATTATAGACAACATTGTTAGTCTTCCTTTGTGTGTGTTCCATTTTAAATCCAAAGGGCTGGATGCATCGCTCACAGAACATATTGCCAATAAAAAGGACAGGAATCAAACACATCTGTCTCTTATCTTTGGGACGTCTCTGACAGTGCAATTGTCCAGCTGACATGTGACATTATTGCACTTTTTTTGAAAAACTTTTTGCCAATTTATTGCTAAAATATAGCAGAGAGATAACCTCAGAGTACTGTAAAATAACTGTACAACTCCAGAGTGAAATATTGTCCACTGATGTTTTTTTGTCAAGTACTAGTTTACTGTCATGGAAGGAATGTGCTGTGATTGAATTCACGTTCAACGACTATGCTGGAATGAAATTATACTAACGCCCTGATGTGTTCGACCCCAGTTTACTGTAAGTCTTTTATAAATGATGCTCCTCCAACACCAGAAAACAACACAAGAAGAATCTTTTTCCCCTCCCCCATATGGGTGTCTGAGTTCCTCACATTTAAGTCACATTCAGACTGTGTCAGTCATTGTTTATTCATTTATTCAGACATGTTCAGAAAAAAACTTTCTGACTCAGTTCAGCTTTTCTGTATGGTACCACTTTACAATAAGGCTCCCCTTATAGATGGCTTGTAATTAGTTTTTAGATAGGTTAATAATTCATCTGTAAAAACGTTATAAATCATTATTAAGTGTTTATTATTCATTAGTTAAAGAAGGGAAAGAGACAAAATTGTCCAGTTTCTTGCCAAATAATGAGCCAAATCTGTTCATGTACATATTACATCTAAAGGTGCTTATTAAACATTTCAGACTAGTTTACTACCTTGTAAGCACAGTAATTTATTAAAAACACATATTTTACATATATTATACTGTATTACCACATTATACATATCCACGGTAATCAAAGGGAGACTTATTGTAAAGTGTAAAATAGTATACTAT